GCTAAAACCTATTAAAGACAAGGTCAATGAAACAATATATGGTCTCTGACTTCACTGACGGCTGATTTGCTGTAAAATCGGAGAACAATTGTGGATATGACTGCTGAGCAGTTCAAAGCAGAAAGGGCAGGTGGGAAGGAAATGATAAGCTTGGGGTCTTCAGAGACAGAGGGGATGCATTTAAGACACTGCTTTAATGCACATCGATGTATATGCTCAGCGTGGCCTTCGTTTCAGATTTGGTGCAGGTGGAGGCACAGGGGTCAATCCACATCTGGGGTTGGATGGATTGTGGAAGGGGGAATTAGGAGCAAGTGATTTTTCACCATCTAGTCTTTGGTGAATCAAGCCTGTGTTTTATCAGAGCTGGGCAGGAGAGTGAGGAAGGGGAAATAAAATATGGACAATTTGAAACAAAAGCTCCCCTAGCTTTTCCAACAAGCAGATTTGCTTTGGTTCTGAATTTCACTGCAAATATATATAGTCTTGCCATGACAAGAATAAATGACATTTTAAAATATTTTTTAAATTAGAATATATTTGTTGTAAAAGATCTTGTTTTAAAAAGCCATGTTAAAAATACAGTCAAAAAAGTCAAGTAATGTGATAAAAGAATATATTAGAGAAATGTTATCAAATAAATGAAAAAAGGTTCTCATTTAGTAATAAATGACTTGAATTTGCATACTTATTTGCGCAGAAAAGATTTAGCTTCAAAAACTATAAAACATTTTCTCAACTGAAATAAAAACATTAAAGCATTTTTATTATTCTTATTCTCATGCTGAAATTATTTGATTGATAAAAAAGTAATATTGTAAAATATTATAAGAAAATTATTAGAATTAAAAATAATTTTCTATTTTAAATGTAATTTGTTTCTGTGATGGCAAAACTGAATTTTCAGGAATCATTCAGAAATCACTGAAATGCTGATTTGAACGAAACATTTCTTATTATCATCAGTTTCGAAAACAGTCGTGTTTTAAAAAATAAAATGCTTGAAAATATTAACTTATTGATGAATCATGATTTCTTTGTGAAAATGTTCACTCATAAGTTTTACACACAAATAAGTGAGTACACATGGCTAGTGAAAGAGAACAATTAAAAAACCTGAATTAACATTTTATGTGTGTGGCCAGTAAAACCTTCCTCATTTTAATATCATTATCCCACAGGACATACTACATCAAGGCTTGTCACTTTGAATCAGAAGTATCAGATTAATAAGCTACACAACATATAAACGGTTACAAAGAGAAAAACACAACACAGTAAAACATATTTATTGGGCAATAACCTATCACAAATTGAGCCGTAAAGCTGTCTGAATTTGCCTGCGCTCCAAATCTGTCCTCCAGGAGAAAAGATGTGTGTTTACAAGCACGATTTGTTGGTCCCCCGAAGTATCTCACCATCTCAGAATGTTTTCTCGAGCAAAACCATTTACTACATTCTAACTTTCTGCATTTCAGCATTTGGCCTTACTGAAAGCAAAAACGCTGACTTATCAGAGCTAAATAAAAATGTATATGCTCAGTATACATAAATAATAAATGTTTAGTAAAGAAAAAAAAATGCTCCAGACACCTTCCAATAATTTTGTTTCAACAGACTGTGAGAACTGCAACCCTTTTTCTCAATTATATTATACAACTCCAGAAGGCCCTCCTGAAAAACAAAACCCCGAGGCCACATCTGTAGCCATGCGCCCTCCCTCTCTCTCAACATGATTTCTATTGATCTGGTGGTCGCAATATCACACTCATCTTCAGCATGGGGCAAGGTCCTACTCCCTTAACCCCCTGCGGTCTTAAGCAGTGCCTGCCAGCAGGAACCCTGAACCTATCGGTCTGAGTCCTCCTACATCCCTTGTATCCCCTCCTCCACAGCCCCATGCCCCTTGCGCCTGTGTTTCTGTGGCCCAGCGGGGCCCCTGCTGCCGCCGTCTTCCATCTGCTGTGCCGTGCCTGGTTCCCTTCGTCTCAGCCACATTAGCAAGTCAATGTGGACCAAATCAGAGTGCTCATGAGAAAGAGAATTCTCCATTTTTAGTGTTGATTTGGATGCCCCTTTAAAAGTAACATTTAATATGGTGACTACTTTGGAAATATGAACTGAAGTGAATGGGAAATTTGAGCCATGAAGAAAAGTGATATGATGCAAACAGACCACAGCCTGTTGTTTTAAAATTTCAGTGTGCAAATAAGGAGTTACAGGTAAATAGCACCGGCCATCTGCTGAGATATGCATAGACAGAGAGAGACTGAACAAGCTTAACTGACACCTGTGGTCTCTCATAAGAAATGATCTCAGGATATTCATTCCAGCCCCAGGACCACGGCTGCAGAATATTGATTAGAGTTGAGATTCAATGTGGAGACAAAGAAAGGGATGTGATAAGGCCCTCAGAAACCTTCTCAAATGTTTCCATCCTGTAATGCGAGAGCTATACGTATATCCATGGGTATGATTGAAGAATAGGAAGGAAAAACAAGAAATAAAGAATAGAGCATTCTCCTTTTAAATATGTCATTGGACAAGAGACCGAACATACAACTTTCATCACATGCATGTGATATTTGCAGCTGTGCCCGTCGGAGGAGGGAAGAAGACTGCCATGTGGCACTTTTGGATTGTGGCATCAGGAATGTGCTAAACAAACCATCTTAGCCCTGCATGCATTTCCATACTGGTCTAGACTGGTTTATGCTGATTTAGTTCTGGTCTAGCTGTGCCCATGTCTCCACCAGGTTTCTTAAAGGGATAGTTCACCCAAAAATGAAAATTCTGTCATCATACTCACCTTCATGTGTTTTTTTGAGGAATGTTTGAACTGTTTTTGTCTATTTAATGAAAGTCTTGTATAGACAAAAAATCTTTACAAATAATTTATTTTATGTTCCACAGAAGAAAGAACATGTGATGACTAGGGATATGCCGGTATCAAATTTTCATGTTGCGATTAATTGCTAATGCTTTTATTACGGTATACGGTATTATCACGATATTGAAATTAAGTAAAAAAAAAAAAGTGCTGTCATAATACAGTATAACAGGTTTAATAACTTTTTTCTTATAACAAAAATAACTGAACATTTAAATGCAAAATTAAATTAAAGTGCAAAAGAACTATAAAGACCAATAGGTATCACTTTACAATAAGACCTCATTAGTTAACCTTAGTTAATACATTAACATTCACAATGAGCAATAGCTACATTTGCTACAGAAGTTATTAATCCTTGTTTAAAAAATACAAGTCTTAGTTCATGTTAGCTCATTAAATAACACAGCTGCAACTCTCGATTTTAACATCCTGTTATTAAATATTGGAATACCTAAGATTAATGAATGTTCAGAAGAATTTTTCATTGGCAGTTTATGTTAACTAATGAATTAACTAATGTTAACTAATGAAGCCCTAATGTAAAGTGTGACCGAACAATAAAGAATCAAAACACTTTCAAACAATATCTAGGGCATGTTGTAGTCCAGATTAAAATGTAAAAAAAGTTTGAAAATAAATAGCCTATTAAGTCTAAATATTTAAGTATTTGGCGCTGTGATGAACATTATTCATTATTATTATTATTATTTCTGCAGTTTAGCGCCATCTGCTGTCAGAGAGTGAAAGTGCGCTTTCATCCAGAGCGTCTCTCGCATGTTCCGCCATGTGCTTCACGTCCGCTTTACATCAGAGTGCTCACGGGTCTTTCATCCAGCATACAGTGGTGTTGTGCATTTTGACCAGTTTATGGGAAAAGTATTCTTAAAATGCATTAAAAATTCTGAATTATTTGTAATATATAATTATTCATGGTATTTAGAAGTGCCCACGATAACAATATCGTGCATATTCATTACCGTGATATATCGCATTACCGAATACCGGCACAAGTCTAGTGATGACATGATGGTAAGCAAATTACAGAATTTTTAGTTTTGGGTGAAGTATACCTTTAAAGGATAGTTCACCCAAAAATGTACTCAGGCGATCCATAATAGATAAGTTTGTTCGTTCATTGGAACAGGAGAAATAGGAGAAATTTAGCATTACATCACTCACTCACCAATGGATCGTACTCAGTGAATGGGAGTTCAAACAGCTGATAAAAACAACAATCATTCACAAGTAACCAATACGACTCCAGTCCATCATTTAATGTCTTAAAAGCTGTGTGAAAAGCTGCATGTTTGTAAGGAACAAATCCATTATTAAGGCATTTTAACTGTAAAGGAGACATCGGCTGCCCATTTCCCACAAGTTGCTATAATTCTTTAGGGTCTTCATGAAATGTCTGCAACATACTTTGATTAAAATTCTTCAATGGTCGTGTAAAACAACACCCCTTTTACCTTGTCAAAAACAGCTCTGTTCACGGTTACGTTTCGGTGTATGTCTCTTTAAATTATAATGAGCTACTGCTCACCCCACCCCTCTCTTCCGTGGGGCGTGTCTACACAAGACACGTGAACAAAGTCCCTTTCAAGGAAAGTCTGTTCACTCAGAGACCATATTTGCAATGCGTCCGGGCAGCTATTTCGGGCATCCAAGACCAAGTCCTATCTAAATGAATGGGGTAATCCTGAAATCTCAAAAACTGCTTGCTGCACTCATGATTATATTACATATTTAAACAAAATCTGAAATGAACTACCCCATAAATGTTGTTCCTTATGCTCAAATAGGGTTAAAAAAAGCTATTTTCAGGCTAGACCAGTCAATGCGCATGTGCAGTCATAAGCGCGAATCTCAGGTTTCTATGGGAACCAGAGCTTCTAACGGCAGCTGCAGTGACGCAATGATTTTACCAATCAGTCATTGGCTCTTTCATTTAGAAGACAGGACATATTCTACCATTTTGTGCATCACAGTTTCTCCCATTCATAAGTAATAGGAGTGAACCGTATGTATATCTATAGTCTTTGATATGAATTGCCTTGGAGTCCGTATATGGCTCGGAGTTGGTGTTATTCAAATTGCTAGCTATCTACGTAGAAACCAGCTGCAAATTGAAACAGCTCGCTGGATGACACAGTTTCAGACTCAGACAGCCCACAACAAACTGGCTGCGTGTTTTCTTTTCAGCATTTCCGAGCTGGCAGACAAACCAGAAACCTAACTAAATGCAAAAAATAAAAAGCTAAAAAAGTGAATATTTTTTATTTTTTTATTTTTTCAAGAACATTTTTATTTGTTCTTGAATGGAGTAAAATTTCAGCAAATTTTCATTTTTGGGTGAACTATTCCCTTGACTAACTTAACTAGCAAGACGACTTTGGTCAATTAGCTTCAGGAAAAAGGTCATCCTTTTGACCAAGAAAGTCTTGTCATTGAGCTAGTTAGGAAAACAACAGGACACAAGTATCATGTAAACAATGCATCCATTACACAGCTGCTTAGATGAGACAGTTCACAGAGTTTGTTCCTTGTTTAGTATAAAAACAGAGAGATAGCAGGGGTCATAGTTAAAAGATGGAGATAATGAGAAACCTGCTTTAAAAAAAATGCAAGGATTATGGCTGTAACAAATTGGACAACATGGAGTGTGTTAACTCACTGAGTTTTACTGCTAACATCCTGGTACAATTGTAGGGTGAGCAAGTATGACCTCTTCCTTTCACTGACAAATGCTGGTGGAGAGGAACAGCAACAGGATCGGTTGAAAACAAGACAGTATTTTTAAAGATATACAATACGTAAAAATTTACTGCACAGGACATTGTTTTGATTGCTTGAGTGCTGAATGGCGAGGATCAACGTTTCGAAAGTGTGGCCATAAGCCTTCCCAGCAAACACTATTTTTAAGACACTGTTTTTCTCTTCCTCTCTCCACAGTAAGTGTACTTTAAGTGCACTTTAATGGTTTGATTTCAGTCGGACTACAGCAATAATTTGTCTTTTTGAAATGTAAATGCTGATGTCTAATTGAAATCGTACCAGTTCAGTTTTGCAAAGTCAGATGAACAGACCTGGATAATGCTGGCTTCATCCAGCATGTATACGTGTTAATCAGACTACAATTAGTCTCAGAGTCACACACATGCATTGTGTCATGCATACTTGACAGACAGATGAAGACTGTTGCTCCACTACACAAAAACCTGCTGGAGCTTGATTAGAGCTGCAAATGTAAACATGCAAAGTATCTATAAGAGGATGATAGATAAAACTAAATATTATTAAATACACTACTGTTCAAAAGGTTTGGGGTCTATAAGACTTTTAAATGTTTTTGAAAAAAAGTGTCTTATGTTCACTGAGGCTGCATTTATTTGATTAAAAATAGAGTAAAACAGTAATATTGCAAAATATTATTGCAATGCAAAATAACTGTTTTCTATTTTAATACTTTTTTAAAATATAGCCTATTCCTGTGATGGAAAAGCTGAATTTTCAGCAGTCATCACTTCAGTCTTCAGTGTCACATGATTCTTCAGAAATCATTCTAATATGCTGATTTGGTGCTCAAAAATATTTCTTATTATTATCAATGTTGAAAACAGTTGTGCTGCTTAATATTTTTGTGGAAATAATGATATACTTTTTTTCAGGATTATTTGATGACTAGAAAGAACTGCACATGCATAAAATATAAATCTTTTGTAACATTATAAATATCTTTACTGTCACTTTTGATCAGTTTAATGCAGTAATGCAAACTTTGCTAATAAAAGTACAACAAAAGTACCAATTTCTTTCAAAAATATATATCAATAAAATGAAATCAATGACAGAGATAGAAGTATTATAGTGTTTAAAGTGAGTCTGGGACACTTTTCACTAGGAAGTGAGCAAGCAGTCGAGCCACAAGGCAAACATACCAACTGCCTTCATTCAATTAAAAGTTCCTGAGTTTATTTTCACTGCCTGATAACCACATTAAACAGTGATATGCACAAGTTTCAGATGTTTCACTGATGTGCACAGGAATGTCACATTATGTTTGTTGTAGCCGCATTCTGGTGCCCTTTAATAAGACTGCTTCCCTTGTGTTTCCACCGCTCCTCCTTTCTCATCTTCGTATACAGTTTTGTTTATCCAGCCGGTGATGTGTAACCAAACAGGACTCTCACAGCCAGAGGGGGTGGTTGAATTACCGAAGATTGCAGGGGGTCATTGGCAGACACACTGTGTGGATTTGAGCCTTAGTTCACCTCCTGCTGCCCAAGAGGTTTAATTACCACAGGCAGGACTGTGTGGCGTTCACATTCACACAGAAAACGAAGAGGTGGGGGCAAAGGCCCGCTGAGCTCCACTAACAGAGAAGGCGAGACTGCCAAACAAGTCAGTATGGAAAACGACCAAAACAACCCCACATACCTCAACTGCAGACAAGGAACACAGTATTTATGCAGGGAAAAGAGGAGGGATAAAATCTGCACTCCATATCTGGAAGCTGTTACAGACTCATCTCTCGAGTGCAGATTGACCGTGCTGGTGATTGAAGTGCCACAGGGCATGAGAGGAGGAATTACTGAGTGCTCTGACACGAGACACCCAACAGTCTCAGCCAACGCCGACATCAAAACTTGAGCATCAAACCCAGGCTTGCGGCAAAACGAGGGAAAAACCTAAACAACACTCTCTCGGAGCAAGAAGCTACAAATGTAACCTTTTTCCGAATGCCAGGGGCAGGAGCAAGAGCCGGCAATGGCCGCAACTGATAATTTTTGAGCAACTGCCTGGGATAAATATTTAATAGAGTGCAGAAAATATAAAACTGTAGAAACAATCAAAGGCCTGCCTCTGTGTGCAGGTTATCTGTCTGCTGGGTGTTATGTGAATCACTGACCGGCAGATACCGAGGTCCCAGAGGGTCCCTTTCATTATCACACAGCGAAGAGCAGGAACACGGCCAGACCGATGAATTATTCAAGTCCACCTCCAGTCTGCATCACTGACTATTTTTTCCATCTCTTCACAACTAAATACTTTTAGAGAGAGAGAGAGAAAAAAAAAAGATTTAGCCAGCATGTACTGAAGCAGTAGAAATACACTGAAATAAACAGGATTAAGACAGGAAATTAGACCTAGCTTTTAAGACAGGGGTGTCCAAACTGCGGCCCGTGGATGAATTTTAAGCGGCCCGCGAAGCATCCGGCCCCCCAGTGTTTCCACATCGTCGAATCCGGCCCTCTTTAGGAAAAGTTTGGACACCCCTGTTTTAAGAGAATTTAGAAAGAGAGTTCATTCAAAAAAATACAAATTCTGTCATCATTTACTCATCCTCATGTTGTTCCAAATGTGTACTGACACGAAACAGGGCTGTTATTGTTAACTAAAACGAAAACTATTAAAACTTGTTTTTCATTCATTTAAATAAAGGTGAAATGAAACAAAATAAAAATAAGACATGAAAAACTTCATGTCATGTCAAGAAACTTCAGCACAAGTTAGAAATGTTGAATTAGAAATAAAAATGAAATAAGTTTAAGTTCTAAACTGAAGTAAAATGTAATAAAATTAAATTTAATAGGTGTAGGTGTAAATAATACTAAAATAACACTGAGACAAAAGCAGAAAAGTGACTAAAGCTTTCACACTTCAACAAGACAGAAAATGTTCATAAAAGTTGTCCATCTGACTTGTACACTATACTCCAAATCGTAAAACTTTCTTTAAAAAAAAATCACCTTCTGTGTCTGATCCAAAAGGTAAAGTCATATGGATTTGGAACAGTGTAAGGTTGAGTAAATAATAGCAGCATTTGCAAGCACAGGAATTGCATCAAATATGAGTTATGTGAGAGACCACGTACTTTGTTCTCAGAAAATAAAATGTTTAGCCCAGAGGCCTCTGGGCATCATTCAGAGTACTTCTGATTTAATCTTGTTTTGTTTTGTGCACTGATGAAATAAGAGCTTTCAGTATTCCGTCCTGATTGGTTCCTCGCCATTGGGATTTGAATAATGTATCAATTTAACATATGCAAAACAGAAGGCTACTTTCCTCCACCGAAAAGGGGGATGTCATCACATCCAGCAGTCCATGGTAATCACTCACTTTCAATTAGCGAGGAGCGAAGGGAGGGTGAGAGCAATTCACAAAGTAAACTGTAAAAGAATATCAAAATATACAGCAATCAGCCCAGCAGTTAAAACGTGTCAACCATTTCAATTTCCCTGCTTGATTGAGCAAATAAATGGCTTATTTAACTCTGTACTCCCCACATAAATATGGTTCAGAAAGCAGCATGTATTATAGACTAAACAAGCTGCTATGTACCAATTCTCAATCAGTGACTGAATTGAAATAAGGGAAACAAAGCACAACAAAAAGGCATCTCAATATTGCTACTTTATATCTCAAAAATGAAACTTTTTTTTCAGAATTGCAGTTTATTTCCCATAATTGCAACTTAATCATTCACAATATGCCTTTATTATTTTAAACTTCATCTCAGGTGAAGACGACTTCGCCATTCAAAACACTTTACAGCTTTTTATAATTTTGTGTCATAAACAGGAAACATGAACATTCAAATCATCAGTTGTTAGCATAATGCTAGTTTGGGGTTGACAGAGTACTTTTTCTACCCTGTCATTAGCTTCAGAGGTTAGGGTGGGGCTTTCCAGCTCTCTTCTGCGGCCTCTGCACTGCTACGTTATTGTGTGAAGGAAAGTTCAGCAGGAGACGCTCAACACAGATTGGAAAAATGACTCCAGCAGCAGAGGCTAAGCACATGAACAAATAGTGCAACCCACCATTTGGCTTAGAGCGCAAATGGCTGATTTTAGAAAGCATATGGGAGATGTTAAATTTTCCTGCTGGACCTTTTTTTCCCTCTCTCCCCAATAGCTTAAGTACAGCTAATGACCGAGATCTTTCTGCACTGGGTAGCAGATGGGCTCTATAGTTTTCAAAGGACAGGAAAGATGGCAAACGCTAAATACAGAAAACAGTGTCTACTCAAAGAAGGAGACCTTCCTTTTCAGATCCTCATTTATAATGCGAACAAAAAAAGTGTGTTTCGGGCTTCCCCAGGGCTGTCAGCACTATATTAATTAGACTTTCAAAAATAGGGGATTAAGTCTGTGAGCGCTTGCCAGAAATGGGCTTCATAGAACCTGCTAAAACGTCTCAGAAATCAATGGCTAAATAGACTTTGCGTCAAGTGATCCATGGTCATGCCATGACAAAAATTAATTAACAACACCATAAATCTCTCTCACGAAAAGGTGTTTAAATCCTTGGCAGTAACACTGAAATAAAACCAACCCAGGCTCATTGGAAAAACATGCTTTCTGCAAAATGATATTACATTGCTTCTTGCATGTTTCGCAGCACTTTTAAAGTGAAATGGTCAGTGAGTGGCACTAAATTTGTGTTCAGTTTTCTCTGAAACAGATGAACGTGAATAATTTAGCAGCATTTTATTACGTTGGTTGTTGTACATTGCGGCAGCTGGGAAATTAAATGTCCAGGTAGTGGCGCTAAAAGGTTAATGTTTTATCACTTAATGCACCACATACACTAAACACTAACTTAAACCAATACTGTTAACAAAATCAAATGTTAGATAAAAATGCATTTGTTAAAGTAACCGTGCCATTTTAGCTTGCTTCTACAAGTCCTTTAGATCTTCTCTATTGCAAGTGCAATATTGTACCAGGTGAGCTACCGAGCACGTTTACTATATCAGAAAAGCCATACACATGGAGCTGGTTATGATGCAAACACCAACTGAATTAGTTTACAAATCATGGACTATGGTAAAAGTGTTTTGTGGTCATAACATATTATTGAGGAAATGTGTAAATAATAATCAATAATCCATAGTCTTTATTAATCAATAATCTGTGTGAATCTGATTTGTGTGAAAAGGAATAAAAGTTTATGTTTTACTGTCACTAGTAGTCATTTCAGCTGGAAACTGCAGTGAATTGTATGTATAGGTATGTATTTGGAGTTTTTCAAAAAATGTATGTAGAGGCACGTTTTTCTAGCAAGCCTAGGTTGAATAAAACTCAGAACAGAATCTGACAGCCCAAACACTGTGATTCTACTGCAAGCTGAAAGTATATGATAAATAATTAAGTGAACTACCAAGCATAGTGATAAATCGACAAGTATAAACAGCTCATAAAAACATCCAAACAGTCTGGGATTAGAGGGCAAAGTACTCCAGGATGTTTGGGCCAGAGAGACGCCCGGTCCCCATCTACAAACAAGTCCATTTGTTTTGAGAAAGGTGGTTTGCATGGGGTGCTGATCATCATGTGGGGAGATTTCCCTTGGGAACGGAGCATTCGATCACGTTAGACAAGCAGAATCTGCCTCATCTGAACCCATCCCACCTCACCGCATTCATCAGTTAATGTGCCCTACATTAAGTGCTTGGAAGTGATTTGAGAAGCCTCAAAACACTGAGCTGTTTGTGCTGTTGTCGACTGCGTCCAGAGGGCCTGGACCCCTGGGCTGAAGGACTCATGCTGGGCTTTCTGTGAGGGTCTGTCTGTAGCAGTGCGCAAAACCCAGCTGAACCCTTGCTCTCTCTGATGAGGTCAGCCATCAGCGAGCTGATCGTAATGTTAGGCAGGCGAGCAGGGAGGAAGGGTGTCGGGTGGTGGGGTGGGAGGTGTTCAGGAAGCAGGCATTTGGCCCTGTCTGACCTTGGCTGATTTCTCCCCTCTGTGTGTTTTGCTCTGTTAAGACTCTCTTTCTCTGACTGCATACCAGCCTTGATGAGCTGTTACATGACCTGCATTCGCACTAAAGAAAGCGTAAGGGGAGCGCAGGACTCCCCTGATGCCTTTGAGACCGCTGTTTGGGTCTCACGTTGTTTGTGTGAACAATAAAACAGCCAAGCCAAACAGGGTAATGTATGTTTTTTCATGATGACAGAGCTGTGGGTGTTGCAGTGTAAGCTTTAAGCCTGGCCTTCTGGTATACTTAACCAGGCGTGCAGACAGACAGATCACAACAGCCTTCACAAGGTAGATTTCACTCATTCCACTGAAGGAAAGCCATCTGAGAGTGCCCTGCAAGTAAATGAGCAATTTATATAGGCTTGCCCTAAAATGGATATCAAAAACCGTACAGAGCCCAGCAGATTATCTCATTGGCCTTCTGGGAAATGAAAAGTCTCAAGGCAGTCAAAAGATCTCACTAAACATTTATCCTTCCAAACATTTATTCTACTTATACTGGGATACGGGGAAATGGAGAGGGCTGAACGGTCAGTCTTTGTGCGCTGAACCTAGACCTTACAGACTGGATGGATGGATGGATGGATGGATGGATTCTAACACAGTATTCTGTATTCTAACATAATCTAAAATTCATCTCAGTGACTCACTCTATATTGTGTTTCAGTCACATAAGCATGTTTCTCTAGGGTAAAAATTTCACAGAATATATTGTTTGATACATAGAAAGATATCTATTTCAAATTTGTGTTGATAGTTTAACAATACATTTGTTAAGATGATACTGTACCGCCCCCCTCCAGGTACTGTAAATAGCTGGAAGTGTCATTTTCCAAAGCTTCAGAATTGCTGCAC